AATGTTAATTTTTCCCCTAAAGGATTACACTCAGTTTTGCTGGGTAGGTGAATTCTTGGTTTTAATCCTAGCTCCTTTACCTCCAGAATATCATATTCCAAGCCCTCAAAGTCCCTTAATGTAGAAGATGCTGAATCTTGTGTTATCCTGATTTTGTTTCCACAATACTTAAATTGTTTCTTTCTGGCTGCTTGCAATATTTTCTCCTGGACCTGGGAACTCTGGAATTTGGTTATAATATTCCTAGGAGTTTTCCTTTGGAGATCTCTTTCCATAAGGGATCAGCATATTCTATCAATTTCTATTTTACCCTCTTAATGTAGAATATCAGGGTACTTTTCCTTGATAATTTCTTGAAGATGATGTCTAAGCTCTTTTTTTTTAATCATGACTTTCAGGTAGTCCAATAATTTTTAAATTATCTCTCCTGGATCTATTTTCCAGGTCAGTTGTTTTCCCAGTGAGGTATTTCACATTGTCTTCTATTTTTTTTTCATTCTTTTGGTTTTACAATTTCTTGATTTCTCATAAAGTCATTAGCTTCCATTTGCATTTTCTTCAGAGAGCTTTTGGACCTCTTTTTCCATTCAGCCAATTTTACTTTTTAGGGCATTCTTCTCCTCTTTGGCTTTTTGGACATTTTTACCTTGGATTAGGCTATTTTTTAAGGTGTTCTTTTTCTTTAGTGTTTTTTGGGGTCTCTTTTAGCAAGCTGTTGACTCATTTTTCATGAATTTCTTGCATCACTCTCATTTCTCTTCCCAATTTTTCCTCTACTTCTCTTACTTTCTTTTCAAAATCCTTTGAACTCTTCCATGGCCTGAGACTAATTCATATTTTTTTGGAGGCTTTGGATGTAGGACCTTTGCCTTTGTTATCTTCCTCTGGTTGTATGTTTTGATCTTCTTTGTCACCAAAGTAAGATTCTATAGTCTGGGTTTTTTCCTCTGTTTGCTCATCTTCCCAACTAGTTTCTTGACTTTTTAACTCTTTGTTAAGATAAGGCTCTGCTTCCAGTGTGGAGGGTGTACTGTTCAAAACTTCAGGGGTTTTGTGTGTCTGTTTTCAGAGATACTTCTGCGGACCTGTACATTTTCAGTTCTTCCAAGGTGTTTCCTTCTTTCTTGGATCAAAGGAGAGGTATTTCCTTCTTTCTTGGCCTGTACTGTGGTCTATAAGTAACCACAAGCACTCTTTTCTGCCTTGGAACTGTGAGGAGGATTCCCTCTCCACCACCACCACCAGCTCCACCACACCAGCACTCCTTCTTGCCCCAGGACTGCCACCCAGTACTGCTAACCAGAACCAAGCACGGGCAAAGCAAGAGAATCCTGCCTCAGTGCCAGCAAAGAGATCCCTGCAATACCCCTCTGATCAGTTGCTTGTGCACCAGGGCTGGGGCCAGACCGCGCTCCTCTCTCACCCAAATCTGATAGACCTTTCCTACCTACCCTCTAAGTTGTCTTTAGTGTTTGTGGGTTATGAAATCTGGAAACCACCACAGCTGCTTGTAATTCAGTCCCCAGAGGCTCGCTGTGGATTTGCTGGGGCCCTGTCTTTGCCTGTGGCAACCCAAGCTGAATGGTGCTCCTCTCCCAGCCTAGTGCAACAGACCTTTCCTGTCCACCATCCAGGTTGTCTTGGGCTGGAAATTTGTTTCATTCTCTCTTTTTTGTGGGTTCTTCTGCTCTAGAATTTGTTTAGAGTAATCTTTACAGGTATTTGGAGGGGTTTGGGGGAGAGCTCAAGCAGTCACTCTTTTACTCAGTCATCTTAGCTCTTCCCCGATGGATAGCATTTTTTATCATAAATCCTTCAGAGTTTACTTAGATCATTGTATTGTTGAGAATAGCTAAGTCATTCACAGTTGATCATCTTATAATGTTGGTGTTACTATGAACAATATTCTCCTAGTCCTACTCATTTCACCTTGCCTCAGTTCATGTAAGTCTTTCCAGGTTTTTCTGAGAGCATCCAGTTCATCATTTCCTTTAGTAAAATAGTATTCTATCACAATCATATGCCACAAACTTGTTCAGCCATTCCCCAATTGATGAGCATCCTTTCATTTTCCAATTCTTTGCAAACAGAAAAGAGTTGCTATAAATATTTGGGCATAATTCCAAATTGCTCTACATAATTTCTTATTTGCAGAACAAATCTATATTTCTAAGATTTCCCATTCTGTGCTAATGGATGCTTTATTAATTAGAGAAACTTTCATAGAAAGATACTTAAGGAAAGCCAATGGTAGGGGCAACATCTAAATCTCACCATATGCAATCTAAGGATGACCTTACCAGCAGTTACAATGTGTTTCTATTTTTTTGGTAACCAACAAACAAAAAGCATGATGGGATCTGATTTTCTTTACATCTTTCTGTGAATTGTGTAAGATGAAAGAGGTAGACTATTGATGAATATCACTTTTGAAAGTCTGCTAGTTGTCTACTGATATCTTTATTGAAGATGCCTCCATTTTTGTATGATGACTATTTGATGATGAATTTGTTGGCCATGGCAACCTACGACACAAAGAAAAATACAAAATTATGTTTGACCCTACATGCTCCCCTTCCACTTCTATAGTGATTGTGGCAAAGTGGTAGTAAATGTGACAAACAGGTCCTCTAATATGTTTTGTGTAAGTGGGATAGGAGGGACATACAATGGCACATGTTGATATTTTATTTGCCTTTTGGGCCAGGGAATATTTAATATGATCTGGGATTTTTCCATTTTTTTTAAATGTTCCTTTAGATATCTTACATAAAGATACCATGGTGATTGTACAATTGTGTCTCCTCCAGTATAGAGCTCCTCTTGCTCCAGTCTGGACTGCTTTTCTCATTCTTGTTCTTGTTAGTACCATTTCTAGCTCCTTGATAAACTTACCTGAGACTATAATGTTAGCAAAGGACCAAGTATAGTGGTTTTTTTCATTTATAATGGAGAAAAATATTTGTTAGAGTCATCTTTTCAAATACTTTCCATTTTTCTTCTATTTGTTATCTCTTTCAATTTTGTCTTTAAATGTTTTTTTGGGATGATTTTGCTTAATTCTTACCAAATTTTCTTTAAGCTGGTTTTAACATACTTTCCCATAATATTTTTTCATCCTCATCTTTCCCTACCTTTTCATTTGAAGTCAACAAGTATCAGAGAGTACATTGATTTAATTTGGAACATCTTACAGAATTCTTCATAGAATTTTTCTATCTCTTCATCCTCAGGAACTGATATTGGTTCATAAGCTACAGTTATTTTCATGGTTGTCTTTTTGCAATTACTTATCACCAGTTATGCAGTATAAGATGACCAGATATCTCATAAAATGTTCCTTGTTGCCTCTTGTCATACAATAAAAACAAATTCTCCAACTTCTTCTTTTTCTCCTCCTACTCTTCCTCCTCCTTTAGGAGTACCTGAGATTCTTCCTTCCATTTCACTTCAACTTTCTTCTTTCTTTTAATTTACTTGATAGCAAAGATGTCAAGAGTGACATGATTTAGCTCATCCAGTATTCTTTAGTTATTGGGAAAAGAGCTTACATTTAGAGCACCAATAGTCAAATTAAAATTGCACATGATTTTTGGACCTGTTTGTCCTCTTTACTACCACTTTGTCACAATCACTATAGAAGTGGAAGGGGAGCATGTAGGGTCGAACATAATTTTGTATTTTTCTTTGTGTCATGGGTTGCCATGGCCAACAAATTCATCACCAAATAGTCAGCCTAGTGGTGATGAGCCTTTCCATACTTAGCTGGGCTGGTCTTTGGAAAATAGACTCAGTCTGTTCTCAGGGCCTTCCTTGAAGACTTTCCAGTGTAGTAGAATCTGCCAGAGTTTATACTAAGCTGGCATACATAGCCTTTGAGAACCCAAAGTAACTTCTGTACCACAATGAGACATCAAGTATGATTTTGTGGAGAACTTTTAAACTATCCAGAGCCAAAATTTATGCTAATTATTTTATAGAAGTGTTAGCTAGCGAAATAGCTAGATATGAAACTCTTCCAAAGAGGTTTTTATGGAATGGAAATCTACTTTTTTAAATAATAAAGCCTAAAATTGTAGTCCTTCACAGGTACTTACATTAAGGATTTTGTTGGAGTGAGAATGTATTGAATTCAGTTTGCAGAGTAATAGCTCACCCTAGTTCCTAAAAGCCTCTTTCCACTTATGAGTGTGAAGCCTGTTAATTATAGCTAGCTCAACAGCCACCATGGGCTTCTTACTCTAACTTCTAGACTCTTCTTAGGAAAGAGATAAAGAAAGAGAAAATTTATAGACCTCAGTGATCCAAGAAGAATGCCTATTTCCCCCTCCTTATGCTTTAACACCTCTTCTGGGTCAGTCAGATACCATATTCAAAAGAATCCATCAAAGGTCACAACTCTCAATCTCTCCCAGTCCCAACAGCCCTCAAATATCACCAGCCCTTCTAGAGGAGTCCACACCATATTTTGAGTCAATAATTTTACTTGCCTGTGTTTTTCCTCTAGCTTCTAGAAGTCTCAGAGTAAACCTGCACTTTCTGTTTTAGAAAACAGACCTGGTGATCAATCTTTATGGTGTGCTGTTACTTAGGGAAAGGGCCAACTGAGAATAGTGACTTTTTGATCCCTATACACAGCCCTAACTAAGTACACCCTTTCCTTAGGAATTACATTCTGACAGAAGTTGGCTCTTAAGGGCCTCATTAAACAGCTAAGGTGCAATGATAAAATTGGTTAAAAGCGGGCAAGTTTTTAACGTAAGACTGCTAGAAAGTGAGAGGAGTAAAGTCAAGCATGCTCTATTCATTTTGATTATGGCTAATCCTGACCCATCCTTCCTCTTATTTGTATTGTCATTTTTAGGCACATTGATCCTCTATCCATGACCTTGTATAATTAGTATTTCTTTTAATCTCCTGGTACAAAACAACTTTTTAAAAATATTAAATCAATATTTTGTTTCTCCTCTCCTTTCCCCAATCCCACTTCACCTTTACAGAACTATTATCTGTTGCCAACATGCAGTCTAGATTTCCACATCCCTTCCATCTGTGGATATATGAATATTTCTTCCCAGTCCCAGGAACAGGAGAACTTGGGAAAATGGTGTCACATGGATTGAGAAGTAAGGTATTTAAAAGGCATTTTTGAAAGGTCCTACTTGTAGAAATAGCCAAAATGAAACACTTTAGCCAAAACGAGTTTGTGTCTCTATCCTTGATTAGAATATGGGTATATTTATAAAACTTTTCTTTAAATGCTAGCCTAATTATTTTTATAATGTGTTTGGGTAACAGGCCATGGTGAAATTTTAAGTGCATATGTTGATACTTTCTAATATAGTCACTTAATTTTTAAATTAAATGGTCTCTACTTTTTCTTTATCAAACTTTATTCTGCTTTCTAACATTAAGCTCCAATAGCATACTAAGCACCGAATAGATTATCTTTTGTTACCTACATACTTTTTAACTTCCTCTGTCACAACTATATCATATATCATTGATAAGTAACATGTAGTAGTTGTTTGTCACTATTACAAAAAGATGTCCAGTCCACCTCATACAAAAGGACAAAAAGGGGCTGATCCTGGCTCTGGCATGAGTTCTGATTCAAGAACAGAAACTGAATATATGAGCAAACAAATAAACTTGAAAATAAAGAAATAGTAGAGGGAATCCCAAGATAAAATCCCAGAGGAATTTGTTCTGGAGGCAGCTTTTTCATCTTTCAGAGAAAAACTAGCCTAACCCACGCTATAGCAAGGAGGAGGGAACTCTAGTGTTGTTATAATACATATCCTCTGGGTAAATGAATTTGTGATATATTTCTAGGTATAGATATGCCATATGTCATGCTATAAGTTAATATTTATTAAAAAAGTGATTTTATTTCTACATGTCACATTTTAGAAAGAACATTGAAAAAGTAGAGGTTGTCTAAAGGAGGGTGATTCTCTAGAAAAAGGGACTGAGTTAAATAAGGATCCATTGAAGGAATTTGGGATACTTAGACTGAAAAAGAGAAGATTTGGGAAAGGTGAAGAGAAAGGGGAGGAGGAGGGTAGAGAGACATGACAGTTGTTTGCAAGTATTTGAAGGTTTATCATGTGGGACATCAGACTTGTTCTGTGTGGCCCCAAGAGCAGAACCCAAAACAATGGGTCGAGGTTTCAGGAGCAGATTTCAGTTCAAGGTGAGGGAGGCCGAAGAGGAGTACCTACCTAAGGCGGGAGTAGATTTCCTGTCGCTGGAGGGCTTCACACAAGGGCTGGATGACCACTTGTTTGCAATATTAGGTAGCAGTTGAAGACCTCAGAAGAAGTAGAAGACCTCAGACGTCCCTTCCAACTCTGACATTCTATGTTATTCTGTAGGTTTTTGACACCATGAAACTTACATAGCATTCTTGGTGAAAGGCAGCTAGGTGGTGCAGCGGATAGAGCACAGGCCCTGGAGTCAGGAAGACCTGAGTTCAAATCCAGCCTCAGACACTTACTAGCTGTGGGGCCCCAGGATAAGTTGCTTAATCTCTGTATTCCTCATTTTCCTCATCTATAAAATGGGAATAATAATTTCCATTGTGGTTCTGAGGCTAAAATAAGATAGAATTTGTAAAGTGGTTTCAAACCTTGAAGCCCTATATAAAAATGCATGCTACAAATGCCAGCTCTGCTTCCCTCCAAAGGCAGACAAGGCAAACAAAGAGAAACAGTAGGGATTACCACATAAACCAGTACCCTTCTGCCAAGACCTAATTTTTCTCTTCTCCCATTCACCACCGCCCTTGATACATACTAGGATTAAAAGGAGCAAAGGAGTGCAACACCAGAGCTAAGGCCTACTGCTTTGTGCCACACAGGACCAGACTGAAAAAAGGGTTTGCATAATTTCTCCAGCCCCTCTTCATCTTTAGCTACTGAGAGCCATGCTCCAAACTGGCAGTGGAGGACATCCACCCAGTGTGAGAACGTGAATAGAAAGTTAGCCTTGGAGTCAAGGAGACCTGAGTTTATGCCTTAACTGTGATATTTAGAAGCTGTATGACCATGGATAAATCATTTAACTTTCCAGTGTCCTAGGATACTCCGTGTCTACGAGGTGCAAATCTTCTTTGGTAAGGAGAGTTACAACTCTAGGAGTTTCCCACACTGATAACATCATAGCTCAGGATCTTACCTCTACCATCAAGAAAAAATAAAATAAAAAAGATGCCCAGGACATTTAAGTTTGACTGGAAGCCCTTTTAACTGTTGGGTCAAAATGTTTTTACTCTTTATTATAGTGCCTCCAACCCTTTTTCTTTCTATTGAAAGTCTGAGTTTCTTAATTGTCCATGGTAGAATGAAGGGTTCAAAATAAATTATTAGTGTTAGCCCAAGATCTGGGACTGTCTCAGTTGAATGTTAAGGGAAGAGGATTTTGAAAAGAACACGCTTGATTTCAATGCAGAACAGAGAGGAGACGGCACTGAAAAGAAAGGTACAGGTATGTTGTGCCTACTCACAACAGGAGCTTGGCTGGCAGGAGAAAATGTGAATGGGAGGGAGAATTGGATTAAGAGCTTCAGACCCCCAAAGATGTGTTCTTACTCAGGAGCAGGGGAGGGAGGCAGAAAGAAGGCGACAGATCAATGAGAGGAGAAAGAAGGGACACAGCTTTTGTGAAAACCCAAGGAGGGGTGGAGCCCGAACCAGGAGGACATCTTGACCCACTGGAATAGACAGTTATCTCTTCCACATTGCATCTTTCCCCATCGCGATTTTGATATATCACAGGTGGACATAAGAAATTAAATGGAAATTTTGGGGGAGTTTTGCAGAAGTTGCAGATGACATGCAAAGCCAGCAGATGACACAGAAAAAGTTTAGAAAATCAGAAATGCAAAATATACACAAAATATTGTATAATACCTACATATCTTATCTTTTAATACCATAAAATTCAGGCTTCTCTAGTATAAAGAGACAGCCAAAATTTTTTATGTGGATTTTCCAGATCATGGGGGTACCACACCCCTAACTCCCACAATGTGAAAGGGATGACTCTAATGCAAGGAAATCTTTCTACAATCTATCTAATTCTACTCCACTTTTTGAAGTCTATAAATCAATCAAATTATATCGCAGAATCAGAGTCTCAGTTACAGGTCATTAAGTCTAACCCATATTTAATGGTGGTTCCCTCCATGATATGCCCAACAACAGGTCAGGCAACTTTTGCTTGAAAACCTCTGGGTGGATTGAGTGGAAGGGGACCATTATCTTTCATGACAGCCTATTCTGATTTGGATATTTCTAATTGTTAGGAGGCTTTTCCTCACACAAGCCTAAATTTGCCTGTCCTCAGCTTTTACTCACTGCTTTCAATTGTACCCTATTGTCCAATTCTTTGCCACACAATAATCCTTCAAATAATTGAAGATTGTGCACATGTCCTTCCTCTCCCCACAATATTCTTTTCTCCTGGCTCAAAATGCTCACTTTTCTTCAACTTATCCTCATATCAGGATCTACCAAGCTGTTGTTCATTGTTTAATTTGTTAATATTCTTAGGAGCCAAAATTTGCTGCTGTCAATGACAATCATAATTATTTTCCAAAATGTTAATACTTATTTTATTTTTTACATTAAAATGTTTTCCCATATTTCTGATTGGTTAGAGTATGCTCATGTCTCTATAGCATAACATTATTCCAAGTATTTTATAGGACATTGTTTAAAGTTACAACCTAGATACAGTTCATGGAAGTTCTAGGCCAGACCTGACTCATGTCAGGCTAATGGCCCAGTCTAGGAACTGGAATGAAACAAGACACTTATAGACTATGTTTTGTTGTTCAGTTGTTCAGTAATATCTGACTCTTCATGACCCAATGGAACATAGCATACTAGGCCCTTCTATCTTCCACTGAAGTCTGTCCAAGCTTATGTTCATTGTTTCCATGACACTATCTATCCATTTCATTCTCTGCCATCTCCTTTTCCTTTTGCCTTCAATCTTTCCCAACATCAGGGGCTTTCCCAATGAGTCACATCTGCTCATTATATGGCCAAAGTGGAAGGTTAAATACTGAAGTATTTAACCTTCCAGTGAATGACCTGAATTAATTTCCTTGGATATTGACTGATTTGACCTCCTTGCTGTCCAAGGGACTATCAAAAGTCTTCTCTAGCACCATAGGGACTGCCTATCTGAAATTGTTGATATTTCTCCTGACAACTTTAATTCTGGCTTTTGATTTGTCCAGCCTGGACTTACACATGATGTACTTTGTATATAAATTAAAATAAATAAGATGACAATATACAGCCTTGTACTCCTTTTCCAATCTTAAACCAATCAGTTGTTCCATGTTCAGTTCTAATTATTGTTTCCTGACCCACATACAGGTTCCTTAGGAGACGAGTAAGATGATCTGGTACTCTCATCTCTTTGAGGACTTGTCACATTTTGTTGTGATTCACACAGTCAAAAGCTTAATGTAGTCAGTAAAGCAGAAGTAAATGTTTTTGTGTGTGGAATGGTGGCAATTTGGTCGCTAAATCCTCTGCCTCCTCAAGAACAAGCCTGCACTTCTGATAATTCTTAGTTCATATATTGCTGAAGCTTAGCTTGCAGAATCTTCAGCATAACCTTGCTGGCAGGTGAAGTAAGCACAATTATTCAGTTATTTGAACATTTTGGCATTGCCCTTCTTCAAGATTGGGATGTAAACTGATCTTTTCCAATCCAGTGACCACTGTTGAGTTTTCCAAATTTGCTAGCATACTGAGTGCAGCACTTTAACAACATCATCCATTAGTGTTTCAAATAGCTCAGTTGGAATTCCATCATATCCATTAGTCTTATGGTTAGCAATGTTTCCTAAGGCCCACTTGATTTCATTCTCCAGGATGTCTCGCTCAAGATCAAGTAACCATAGCATCATGGTTATCAGTGATGTTAAGATCTTTCTTGTCTAGTTCTATACATTCTTGCCACCTCTTCTTAATCTCTATTTCTCTTAACTCCCTACCATTTTTTACTTTTATCCCATTTTTAATGGATATCAATTATATATTTATTCCCTTGATATATCTAATTTTCTTGAAGAGATCTCTTGTCTTTACCATTCTATTGTTTTCTTCTATTTATTTGCATTGCTCATTTAAGAAAACCTTATCTCTCCTTAATATTCTCTGGAATTCTGCATTCAATTGTATATATACCTTTCCCTTTCTCCTTCTTTCCTCAGCTGTTTGTAAAGCCCCATCAGACAGTCATTTTGCTTTCTTGCTTTTCTTTTTCTTTAGGATGTTTTTTGTTGCCACCTCCTGTACAGTATTGCAAACTTCTGTCCATAGTAATTTAGGCACTCCATCTACCAGATCTAATCCTTTAAATTTATTTATCATTTCCACTTTATTTTCATAACAGATGTTATTCAGGTGATACCTATACAATCTGATGGTTTTCCCTATTTTCTTCAATTAAAATCTTTAGAAATTGTAATAAGAAGCTCATGATCTGATCCAGGTCTTGTTTTAACTGACTGGATAGAGCTTCTTCTCCTTTGGTTGCAAAGTATATAATCAATTCAATTTTGATATTGAACATTTGGTGATGTCCATGTGTCCATCTGTCTTTTGGGTTATTGAAAAAGAGTGTTCTCTATGACTGGCGAGTTATCTTGATAAAACTTTATTAGTCTCTGCCCTGCTTCATTTTGTACTCCAAGGCCAAAAATTACCTGTTATTCCAATTATCTTTTGATTTCCTACTTCAGCATTCCAATCCCCTATGATGAATGTGATATCTTTTTTTTTTTGGTGTTATATCTAGAAGATGCTATTAATCTTCATAGAATTAAGCAACTTTGGAATCTTTAGCATTAGTGGTTGGAGCACAGACTTGTTTTACTGTGATGCTAAATAGTTTTCCTTGGATTCAAACAGATATCATTCTGTCATTTTTGAAATTATACCCCAGTACTGCATTTCTTACCCTTTTATTGACTATGAGGGCTACTCTTATTTCTTCTAAGAGATTCTTGACTACAGCAGTATATGTAATGATCACCTGAATTAAATTCACTCAATTCCCATCCATTTAAGTTAGCTTACACCCAAGATATTGTAGTTTAATCTTTCCATCTCCTGTTTGACCACATCTAACTTACCTTGGTTCATAGATCTTACATTCCAGGTTCCCGTGCATTATTGATTTTTATAGCACTGGACCTTCCTTTCATCACCAGATACACCCACAGCTGAACTTTCTTTCAGCTTTGGTCCAACCTCCTCATTTTTTCTGGAGCTACTTGTAGTTGTCCCCTGCTTTTGGGTTGGACACCTTCCAATCTGAGGGCTTCAGCTTCTAATGTCATATCTTTATCTTTTTAATACTATCCATGGAGTTTTCTTGGCAAAGATACTGGAGTCATTTGCCATTTCCTTCTCCAGTGAATTACCTTTTGTCTGAACTCTCTTCTGTGACCTGTCTGTCTTGGGTAATCCTGCATGTCATAGCTCATGGTTTCTTTGAACTATGTAAGCCCCTCCACCACAATAAGGCACTGATCCAGGAGGATATAGACCATACAGCATTTAACAAAAGGGAAAGTTTGCTGAACAACATCATGAAAACAATAGTCAGCAAAAATACAGCATTTCAGGAGGGCACAGTTTTCCAGCCTCTAAATTTACACTACAACAAGTCATTTGGATATACCTAGCTTGAGCAGCCCCAAAATCCTCATGTGCTGGGCTTTTATTCTTAGGAGGCCAGGAAATTATGACAATGAATTGAAGTCTTAATTCTCTGGGCCAATTAAATTTTGAGAATGATTTCATTTTTTTCAAGGAAGAACTAACTTTACCTACATGGAGGAGATGTTGCTCCTATCACAATAGTGGTAATGTTTTAGTTTTGGAGTTTTCTTTAAGAGTTCTCAAAGCTCTGAAAAGCCCTATCTTGCCCTAAGGCTAAGGGTTTGTTACTTTTGATATAATTATAATCATTTGATCTACATTTTCTTTCAGGTCTCAAAGACTTCTGAGGGTTTGATGGAGACTTTACAACACTCCAAACCATTGCCTTGCAATGAAGCTTTGGGTACTAGATCTTTGGAACCACAGTACTTGCAACAACATGGGGCTTCAGGACAGCCAACATCATACTAAGAAGAAACTCATCTTATGCCTTGCCTTAAAGGAAGAGAGATCATCCTGAATGGAAAAATCAAAGAAGAAAAAGAATACCAGCAGCTTACAACACACTGTAAATAGCTCATCAGGGCCCAACCAAGTAATCCTTACTAGTGATTCCAACCTTCATAGACATTCACCAAGAACAGAAAGGCTTAATCCTTCTAAAATCATCAAAAAAAATACTCAGATAAAGAGACCAAGTACTGTCACCCTATTGAAACGATCCAAAAGGGGAAGCATGTCTGATGGTCTGACTCAACCCCCTATAATTCCACCCCGAAGACCAAGATTTAGACTGTGCTACATTTGTGGAAAAGAATTTGGTTCTCAGTCAATTTCCATTCATGAACCCCAGTGCCTGAAAAAGTGGCACATTGAAAACAACAAGTTACCCAGAAATCTCAGAAAACCAGAGCCCCCAAAACCAAAACCTCTCAGTGGTACTCCTTCTTATGATTTGCAGTCTATCAACAAGGCTGCCTTTGGGAGTGCTCAGGCTCAGCTATTGCCTTGTGAACACTGTGGTCGAACTTTCTTGCCTGACCGTCTTCTTGTTCACCTAAGAAGTTGTAAGCCAAAAGCTAATTTCTCTGAGAATCCCCCTGGCAAGAAGAAAACCCTTGGTGGATTCATGTCCCCACCAAAGACTCTCCTCTGTTACGTCTGTGGCAGAGAGTTTGACAGCCAGGCTCTTTCTGCCCACGAGTCAGAGTGCCTGGAGAAATGGAAAGCAGAAAATGAGCGACTCCCCAAAGAGCTCCGACAGATACCTCCTCAGAAGCCAAAGTGTTATTCAGCCGAGCCAGCTAAGCCTGAGACTTCTGAGAGTCATAAGGATACACAAATGGTGTGCTCCAAGTGTAACAAGAACTTTATACCAGATCGTCTTCACATACACCAAAAAATCTGCCAAGTTCAAATCTCTAATTCCAGCACTTTTAAAGGTACAAGCAGTGGGAAGGAGTCAATAAAAATTCAGCAACAAAAGAACAAGGCAGGATCCTCCAGTTCTGACAAGGTAATCCCTTGCACAAAATGCATACTAAAGGGGCCAGGTGATACTTTCCATGGCACTAAAAGAAACTTTTCTCCTGGACAACTTCTTTAAGTGTCTAATTTCTCTCTTGGGGAACCCTTGGTGAATCTGTAGGAGAAGTGTAACCTTTTCTATATCAAAAAAATCATGACTTGCCCTATTGTTTTCTTTATTCTCTGAATCTTTGCTGTCCAGGGGGAAGAAAAAGAAAGACGGACACCCTATTCCTTGGTTCCTCATTATGCTTTATCTCTGGGAGAGGCTGTTATTTGCAAATGAGTCATTAATGCTGTGCCTGTGTTACAAAGTTATAACTCCCATTTCAATAGCCAGGATTCATTGTGGTTTATTTCAGTCATCTGCATTAGGAATTTGCTTTTGGCAACACTGAGTTATGTTGAGTTTATTTGACTAAAATAGAATCTGTGTCAAAAATCCCGGCTGACTAAAGCAGTACACACTAGAGCACTTTTGGTAACTCACAGACCTGCAATTGTGACCTCTTTTTCTTAAAAAACTAGTCAATGGATAGTTAATAAAATAAAGGATATGCCCCGACACAACTGTTATCCCATAATCAAGAGGAAAGGAAGGCGAAGTGAATGAATATTTATATAATCTTACTATGTATCAGGCACTCTTTGCTAAGCGTTTTACAAATATTACCTCATTCAATCCTCATGATAATTCTTTTGACATAGGTATTACTATCCCCCTTTTACAGAAGAAATTGAGGCAGACAGAGGTTAAGTGACTTACCCAGAGTCTCATAGCCAACAAGATTCTGAGGTTGGATTTGAACTCAAGTTTTCCTAGTACTCTATCCACTATGCCACCTAGCTGCCAGGCTAATAAATAAGCATTTCTTAAGCACATTCTATGTGCTGGCTAAATGTGCTGGCTATTCATTGCTACAAGAGGCAGTCAATGCCCCCCACCTCTGCTGAACCCCATACTCCAGGAATAACTCTAGGCCTACTGCTCCCCTGGACCATGCCCAGTGGTTATTATATTGCTTCCCTATCTTTTGGGAGTGAAGAACTACTATACTTTTTTAACCTAAAGCTTTATGATTGACTAGGGATATGGAATTAGATTGTGAGAGCAGTGGAGTGAATGCTGGAAGGGCTCTGCCCTCCTTTGATGTGATGGCAATATGTGCCCACCTTCTAGGCCTTGCTTTCTGAAATGCTGATTTATCAAACACATTGGGCTGGTTTGACTGATTGTGGAATCCTGCAATGTACAAGTTCTTTTTCAGGACAAAATAGGAATAGTTTATGATTTTCTCATTTACATGGTTTCTGTTCTTCTTTACTAGTTTTCTGTTTCTTTGGGATGAATATATTCCTTTTCTTCCATTTTTTCATGTTTAATAATTAAAGCTATAGATATTTGAATTTTTAAAATCCCCAAAGGAATTACATTGAAACACCAGAAAAAGTTACAATATTGTGTAGTTTTGCAGTAAACACTTAAGAAAGAACTCAAGGGGCAACTAGGTGGTACAGTGGATAGAGTGTTGGGCCTGGCATCAAGAAGATCCAAGTTCAAATCTAGCCTCAAAAACCAGCTGTGTGACCCTGGGCAAGTTACTTCCCCTCTGTTTGCCTCAGTCTCTTCATCTGTAAAATAAGGATAATAATAGCACCTATTTTTCAAGGCTGTTGTAAGGATCAAATGGGATAATAATTAGCACAGTGTCTGGTACATATTAAATGCTATATAAATATTAATTATTGCTATTATTATTATTATTAATTTTCTTACATAGTGAAAATCTCAAATTTTAAATGTGGCACACAAAAGTACTATACTACTCTAAAAGGTTTGTTTCTTTTTTCCCCCTGACTTTAAAAATGTCTGTATTCATCCAAGATATATAATCTGACTTCATTGAGAGAGACAGAGACAGAGAGGAGGGAAAGGAAGAGACAGACCAAGAGACAGACAAAAAAGATAGAGGCAGAGAAGAGAAAGGTAGAGAAGGAGAGAGAGAGAGAGAGAGACAGAGAGAGAGAGACAGAGAGACAGAGAGACAGAGAGACAGAGACAGAGACAGAGAGAGACAAGAGAGAGTAGAGTGTAAATTCCTTGTGAGTAAGGATTATTTCGTTCTTTGTACTTGTATCCCCAAGCACCTAGAACAATGCCTGGCACATACTAGGCACATTTGGAATGTTTTTTCATTGATTGAATGTGTGTGTGTGTCTGTGTCAGTGTGTATGTTTGTACTACAAATCAGATTCCTTTGTATTCTGACTTAAAACTTTGTTTCTTAATTGGATTCATTTATTTCAGATGTTCTTATTACAGATCATGGATATGGAACACTTTGGTCAGGATTCTTTTACTTGCTTCTATGCTCCCCAAAATGGAGCCAACAGGCAAAGCACAGCATGTACTACTATGCAGTCATAACTGCTGAAACAAAGTATCTTGGGTGGATGTCTTATAATACTCTGTTGATTTGAGCTGAAGGCAAAAAAAAAAAAGCCCTAATAAAGGTCCATTGGTGGCACACACACCTCTACGAGGCTAAGGGGAGTCCCAAGAACCAAGCCAGAGCTCTTCAGAAGATGCTATAACTTGTGTATGTTAGGGTACACATGTCACAACTCCCTACCTGGAGTAAGTATGTCAACAGGAAACTGTTACCCACTGCCGTCAGGCATGTGCTTACTATTCCTAGGACCACTCATACTTTCAGAGAGAGTACAGAAAGGCCTCCGATGATACCTTTAGATGCATGATTTAAAAAATCTTCAGTTAGGAGAGAATTCTTGGTTTTCTGAAAGGAAAAATTACTTCTAAAACAATCGGGCATTCAGTCTTTCCCTTAGCTACACTATTTCTCATTCCAATAAAATTCTTCAGCAAGAGACCTTTTTCCATTCGTTTCTTCTCTGGTGCAGTCTACCGAATCTTTTTCCTTTTTTTTACCACTCTGTTACTTACTAACTCTTAAAGTCTCTGCCCAGACTTCTTTCTTCTGGACATTGAGACCATCACTTATCCTTCCTTTTAATACTCTTTAATTTCTCAACATCATTCTATTATAGCACCTTGTCCAAGATACTCCCCCAATTCATGGTTTGGGTCATCACAGTGGTGACTACTCTTGAGATATATAGTTAACACTGAGGTGCTATACTTTGACAATGTAACTCAAGAGCCCCCACTGGTGTGTATCCCATTAGTAAACAATCAGTACACTCAGCTTTTAGCAAAGTCATTTACTAAGCTGGCATTATAAAAGCAATAATTACAATCCCTTCCAAAATCCCTCCCCCTACCCCCACACACATATAAATACACACTTACAAAAGCTTCAGGCACATTCTCCAAAAATTATGCATGCGATTGATGGGAAGAGTTGGTTCAAATTTAGAATATAATGGAAATGAGGCACATGTAAGGAATATCATGTCAAAGATGTCACAACTCCTAGTATTGGAAGTTCTTTCTCCCTTTGTGGAATCCATATATAGCTCTTTTGGGTGTAACATCAATGCCAGACAGCTTGCTTAGCTACTAATTTCAAATGGCTCCCAAAATATGTAACTTTCTTGAGTTTCTAGTCAATACTTCTCTCTGTTATTAGAGGTCACATTCCTTGAAGCTATCTTCTCCCTCTCTCCGTCTGTCTGTCCTCAATATGATTTCTGCTCCCAGATGGATGGATTGTCTCTTATTGGCTCAGTTTTTCTGGTGGCATAGTCAATGGGACTAGTGACATAGTCACTTTTCCTCCCTCCTTGTTGATCTCTTCAATAGGTAAAAATAAGGATCTGACTTCATAAAGCACTTCTAATCCTAGGATCTTTTACCGCTGGACTGGCTAAACTCCTAAATTCACTTCCTCTTTTTAAATATTGGCCAAAAGAAGCTAATGATTCTCTCAGCCAATCAAATTGCTTTCTTTCTTGTCCCTTAATTATACATGTTCACACATTCTGGACTTGGGGAATTCATTCTCCATTTACTAATGACTTGGGGACATTCAGACATTGTCCTTCCCTAGTGCTTTATGCCAAAGAGTGCCTGAAATGTACATGTGGCATGGTTCACAAACAAATGTAGAAATTATCATTTTGCCATACTTCCAAATATATGCAGATACAATTTTACAAACAAATACTATCTTATAAAGTTCTCCACTTATCTTAGTGTTTGCAAAGTTCTTCCCCAACCCAAAGACAATAAAGAAAAAGGGAAAGAAAGTCAAATGTTTCATCTCAGAGGAAAAATCTTCCTCCCTGAAGAGGTCCCAAAACATGTTGGACCCTCTCCATAAGAAGTAAAAACGTCTGATTCAATGAAAGTCAACTTCTCATCCTTCAGATGAGAACTTAAACCACTTTGCTTTGATGCTTGGGTAACAGCACTGGGCCTGAGACATTTACCCTTTCTCTCTCCCACTGATGTCCCTCTCTGCATTGGGTTCACTCAGATACTAAGTGCCATAACAAACTGGCATAGGACCTGAGGTGAGAGGAGAAGGGGGCTGCAATGCTTGTCCTTTCTCTGAGTAATTACCCCTAAGTCCTCTCCCTCTCTGTTTAAGAGGCCCCTTTGTTCAGGGCCCCACATAAAGCTTGGTTTTAATCTTATGAAATTCATCTGAGTCCCAACATAAGGCATCCAAAATTTCTTTAGAGATCCCTGAAGCATATGGGGAATCTAAGTGGAGGTCTAGACAAAACATTTCCAGGTATCTCATCATACATAAAGCACACCAAAATTTCTAGGGATTTTTTCATACATAAGGCAATCCAATTGGAAGTTTCAGACAGAAATTATCTCTGAGTTCCTGCACCATACATCATCTAAAATTTCTCCAGAAATCCCTGAAACTTATAGGGATCCAAATTCACTCCTTACTAGGACAAGTAGACTAAATTGAAGAAAAAGAAAGCAAACTCAAAAAATTTCTGAAGGGGTATGAAGGTCCTCAAAGGGATGATTATTGAGGATTTCTA